CCTCCTTACACTTGAAGGGAATCCCTAGGAAGGAAATAAAAGCTACAAGTAAAAGCTCAGCCACACCAAGCTATAATTGAAAGATAAGTCTGATCTCGTTCTCCCCTGCCTGAAATCTATCCATCACCATATAACGTGACAGTGGAAATCAGCAAACCACAGCCACACAGAGAAACACCAGGGACTCTGAGAAGCAGGATGCTGAGTGAAAAGAGCAAGTCGGAAAAGACTACACAGAGCACGATGCCATTTTTATAGAGTTCCAAAGCAACAAAACAAAACAAATTAAAAAAACAAGCAAAACTAAAAAAAGTGTTGTTTAGGGACACATACGTGAAGGTCAATTTTTTTTAAGTGGGGGAATTATAAATACAAATTTCCAAGTAGGCCTCTCTGGGGAGGAGTAGGGAAGTTGAAATAGGGAAGGAACATGCAGGAAACACATGAAATTGATGATATTCTACTTCTCATGTTGACATACTCGTTTTTTGTTATACTGCATTGTCTGCATATAAACTACCTCTATTTTTAATGTATCAAGTAATCCACAATTTAAAAAATTAAGCTGCTCACAGTTTCCCATTGTTCTCAGCACAACCTGGGCCACTGAGATCACCACTCATCATGTGGATAAATCCTACACTTCCTTCCAGCTTCAGCTTAACCGCCACTTGCCCGGAGCACATTAAATATCTCCTCACTCATGCATCCAAAGTGCACGATGACTGTTCAACTGTCACACTCACTGTGGTTAATTACGTGTGTGCTCTTTACTCCCTTGCCTACACTATAAACTGCATGAAGGGAAATATCTCCATCACATCCAAGATTGAATTCTCAGTACCTAGTGCAGAGAACTGTTTGACGAATTAATAGATCCCCCCCCAAAGTAATTTATCGAATGAGTGAATTAATCAGTGAGTGAATGAATAAATTAGAAAAGAGAGGATTGAGGATAAAGTAAAGTAAGAGGAGGATCCCAGGTTGGGTAGATGGAAGAACTTACAACCAAACCAAGACACAGATTCCATTGCCATGAGGCACAAGGAGATAATTACTTTTGCAGTTGAAGTTCAAGGAGCCTTCTGGATCGGGACGAAAGCCATCAATGCAGCTACAGCTGTAGGAGCCCGAGGCATTGGTGCAGATGGAATTGGGGCCACAATGTGACGGATCATGGGAGCACTCATCAATACCTGCAAAGAACTTGAGGCGATCAGACAACCCAGAAGAACCAGGAGATCCTTCTTTCCAGGGATAGTCAGCCACCCCTCTTCTCCCCTCTGCATTCCACGCCTTGGCCTGTGAAGTTCAGCTGTCCATTGCTTGGTGCAAAGCCAGAGCAGGTGCAGAAGTAGCTACCAGGGGTGTTGGTGCATGTCACGTTGGAAAGACACATGTGAAGGCACTCATCAATATCTATAGGGTTGAGAATGGGCATGAGGCAGAGCTGGCTAGAAATCCTGCAAAAGCTATGCTCCCAAAGCATAGAGTTGTCACTAAAAAATAAAATAAAATAAAATAAAATAAATAAAAATATGGTGGCCCAACCAGAAACTTCTGCATCTAGGTTTGCGACATGGGACTAGTTTTCACTTATGGACTGTGAGCACATCCATTTGTCACCTCTGGGCCAAGGTGGTTACAAGGTTAGTGTGCCTTCTCTCTCCTTCCCCATCACTGACTGAACCAGGGAGTCCAAAGCCATAGGTATATAAGAACCTGCAGATGTAAGGAAATGGATTCCTATATAATGTGTGGAGAAAAGCTGCCCACTGCCCAGGCATATCTATATTGGATGGTTATGAAAGTAAGAAATTGCTATTATGTTTAGCTAGTGGTTCTCAGCTGAGGGCAGTTTGCACCCTGATCCCATCCAGGGGACATGGGGCAATGTCTGGTGACATCTTGGGGTGTCCTGACTGGGCTGGGGGTGTACTACTGTGATCTAGTGGGTAGAAGCTAAAGATATTCTCCTCTTGGTGTCACAGAAAACATCTCGAACCAAGAAGTAGGCTTCTCGTTCAACAGCGAGCTCCCCACCTGCAGACACACTTAAGCATCAGCTACGTGAACTCTTGTCAGAAATGACACAAATATTGGGGCTCCTGGGTGTCTCAGTCGGTTAAGCACTGGACTCTTGATTTCAGCTCAGGTCATGATCTCACACTTCTTGAGTTAGAGCCCCGTATTGGGTTCTACCAAGGCGGAGCCTGCTTGGGACTCTCTCTCTCCCTCTTTCTCTACCCTTCTCCCGCTCATTGTCTCTCTCTTTCCATTTCTCTAAAATCAATAAATAAACTTTAAATGAAGGAGCAAGTGGATAAATAAGCAAATAAATAATTTTTAAATATCGCATAAATGGAATTTATATTTTGCAAATGGAACTGGACTAGGCGCGTGGTTTTCAAAATGTTTTGGCTGAAGAAAGTTTTCACTTCATGGAAAGTGAAACTTATTTAGTAGGTAAAACATATAAGAGAGATGATAATGTGACTCATATAGGGGCTCTGGAAAGAATCTTAAGAACACAGAGTACTGTATTAATCTATTTCTAAAGTCTTTTCCAATTCGCCACACTATTGTTCTGCTTCCAGCAATGTCAGTAGCTGCTGAAGGTCAAGGTAAAAAGAAATATAACATTTAAAAAAAAATTTTTTTTAATGTTTTATTTATTTCTAGGAGAGAGAGAGACAGCGTGAGCAGGGGAGGGTCAGAGAGAGAGGGAGCCACAGACTGAAACAGGCTCCAGGCTCTGAGCTGGCAGCCAGCACAGAGCCCGACGCGGGGCCCGAACCCACAAACCGCGAGATCATGACCCAAGCGAAAGTCGGACGCCCAACCGACTAAGCCACCCAGGCGCCCCGAAATATAACATTTTTAATGAAAAGAAGCACACATTTCCCCTGGGGGTTGAAGAACATAAGATGTGCTCTGCAGTGTGTCAGATCCTCCGAAGACGGCCGCCATCAATTCGTTCATTTCCTGTGTGTACTTGTTGGTGGCCCAGCGATCTGAGGAGTTAGTTTTCCCTTCCTTTGCCTGCAGGCTGGCCCCATGACTGTGACCAGGAGAATGCGGCAGAAGGAATGTTCTGGCACTTAAGTTCAGGCCTTACAAGGACTCACAGTTTCTGCTTTCTTCCTCTTGCAGCTTCCCTTACTGCAAACCAGCTGCCATGTTCCCAGGAAGCCCAAGCGACCATGAGGAAGGCCCCATACGGAAACCGAGGGGCCCAGCTGAGCTCCCACCCAGAGACCAGCACCAACTACAAGGAATGTAAGTGAGGCCATTTTGGACCTTGTGCCTTCTTAGTGCACCCGCCCCTCCAAAAAAAAAACACAACACCTAAGTTATCCACAGAATTCTGAGCAGGCAATAAGTGTTGTTTGTAAGCCACTCTGTTCAGGATATGTTGACATCCATTAAAAGTCCTCGGCATGTCTGGGAGCATTACCTGTACATCTGAAATCCTCTGGTTTCTCAGGGGTCCAGACAACAGGTGAAAAGAACCCGGCCAGGAAGAACTCCAAAGAGTGGAGTTCCTGGCACATTCGTCCACATCTAAGCAGAAAACGAGGCTTGTCAACAGGATAAAGGACACTGAGGCCATGGCGGTGCACTGCCCCATCCTGACCGAAGCCAGTGGTTTCCCTGCTCTGCTCGCGCCCTCATAAACACTGCTGACGGGAAGTGCAAAGAGCTATGACTGTGACCCACAGAAATCTTGTGATGAGGCTCTCCACATCTTGGGATAAAATCCAAACTCCTCACTAGAACCCAGGAGACTCTGAGAGCCTGTACCCTCCTAAGTCCACCTTAGTCATCTTTCCTTTCGAATCCCTTAGTGATTCCTGATCCATATTCACTGATTGCCTGTAGGTCCATGAAGGCTCATGTCTGCTCCCTCAGCCTTGAACTCACTTGCCCCCTCGTTCCTTGATAAATCTCAATTCCTTCCCCTAAAATACTATGTTATCAATAATAATAACAACCGAGAGGCATCCAAGTGGAGAGGTGGAGAGCATGGACAGTGTGGGCTCAAAGCTTGGCTCTGTCCCTATTGATTGTGTGTTACTGGTTGCTGTGGGCTGAATTACATCCCCCCCAGATTTATACATTAAAGCCCTAATACTCAGTGAAACAAAGAGCATTTTCAAGATGATTAGTTGACGAGGTATTAAAATGGGATTAGTGTCTGGGGGCACATGGTGGCTCAGGCAGTTGAGCTTCCTAAACTTGGTTTCAGCTCAGGTCATGATCTCAAGGTTTGTGAGTTCAAGCCCAGCATTGGGCTCTGTGCTGATAGTGTAGACCCTGTTTAGTTATCTCTCTCTCTCTCCCTCTCTCTTCTTCTCTCTCTGACCCTTCATGCTCTCCCTTTCTCTCAAAAATAAATAAATAAACATTTTTAAAAAGATGGGATTAGTGCACATAAAACAAGAGGAAGAGAGAGCAGAGATCAATGTCCATTAGGACCCATAGTGAAGGCAGTCATCTGTAAGCCAGGAGGATAGCCCTCTCCAGAACCCAGCTGTGCTCTCAGACTTCCCACCTCCACAAGGAGAGAAAATAGGTCTCAATGTTGAAACCACCCTGTTTGCAGTTTTTTGTTCTGGTGGCCCTGAGCTGACAATGAACAAGGATAGTTCATCTCTGTGTGTCTCGGTGCCATCCTAAGTCAGGTAGGGATAAGAATAGTACTCGCCTCATAGGTTTGTTTGGAGCATTAAAGAAGGTGTCATCTGTGAAGGACTCAGAACAGAGCACGAAGAGTAAGAAGTATGAGGTAAGTATTTGTTAACTCAAAATTAACTGCTAACATGTTGGGAATTTTTGTGACAGGTGGTGAGGAAGATCACTCAAGCAATGCTCATGGCAGCCCTGTGAGGTGCACACCAACATTACTCTCATTTTTCTTATAAGGGAACTGAGTCTTCACAACTGTGCAGAGTCACACAGCTTATGAAAGGCACACTAGGATTTAAAACCAAGCTCTCTCTGGTTCTGGACTTTTATTTTTTATTTATTTTTTTTTAATGTTTTATTTATTTCTAGGAGAGAGAGAGAGAGACAGTGTGAACAGGGGAGGGTCAGAGAGAGAGGGAGTCACAGACTGAAACAGGCTCCAGGCTCTGAGCTGGCAGTCAGCACAGAGCCCGACGCGGGGCCCGAACCCACGAACCGCGAGATCATGACCTAAGCGAAAGTCGGACGCCTAACCGACTAAGCCACCCAGGCGCCCCTCTGGTTCTGGACTTTTAGATAACAACCTCCCAGTCTCTCTTGAGTCCGAGTCTGGGAATTTGGGCTTAAGTCAATGCTGGCCAGTTCAGATCCTGACTCCTCAACTTCCTATCTATTTGACCTTGGAAGGGTTGTTCCTCCACAATGGAGGCCCAGGATCCTCATCTGTAAAATGGGCATAAAATACTGCTAATACCATCAGGTTGTTGGGAAGACACTGAGCACACATATGGCAGAACTCATCTCCAAAGGCAAGGGAATCAAGAGCAAAAATGGACTATTGGGACCTCATCAAGACCAAAAGCTTCTGCACGACAAAGGAAACAATCCATAAAACTAACACCAACCGACAGAATGGGAAAAGAGAGTTGCAAATGACATATCAGATAAAGGGCTAGTATCCAAAATCTATAAGAAACTCACCAAACTCCACACCCAAAAAACAAACAATCCAGTGAAGCAATGGGCAGAAGACGTGAACAGACATTTCTCAAAAGAGAACATCCACATGGCCAACAGACTCATAAAACGATGTTCAACGTCCCTCATCAGCAGGGAAATACACATCAAAACCACACTGAGATACTACCTCATGCTGGTCAGAATGACTAAAATGAATTAATCAGGAGACTATAGATGCTGTCGAGAATGTGGAGAAACGTGCACCCACTTGCAGTGTTGGTGGGAATGTAAACTGATGTACCGCTCTGGAGAACAGTGTGGAGGTTCCTCAAAAAATTAACATTACTCCCCTATTACCCAGCAATAGCACTGTTGGAATTTACCCAAGGGACACAGGAGTGCTGATGCCTAGGAGCACATGTACCCCAAGTTCATAGCAGTACGTTCAACAATAGCCAAATCATTGAAAGAGCCTAATGTCCATCAACTGATAGATGAATCAAGAAGGTGTGGTTTATATACACAATGGAATACTACATGGCAATGAGAAACAATGAAATCTGGCCATGTGTAGCAACGTGGATGGAACTCAAGGGTATTATGCTACATGAAATAAGTCAGGCAGAGAAACACAGATACCTTATGTTTGCACGTATAGGAAGATTAGGAGGAACTTAACGGAGGACCATGGGGGAGGAGAAGGGGAAAAATAGTTGGGGAGAGGGATGGAGGCGAACCTTGAGAAACTCTTGAATGTTGAGAACAAACTG